ATCCATCCATCCATCCATCCATCCATCCATCCATCCATCCATCCATCCATCCATCCATCCATCCATCCATCCAAGGGCTGCAACTAATGATTAATTTGCAAATCGATTAATCTGTTGATAATACTTTGGAAGGATCAATCAATAATCGGATAGTGAAACATTCCATAAAGAAGATTTTTATTTTTAAACGAAATTAAACCAGGTGGAACAAAAATGTTTCCTCTTGAAGGGTTCTGTATGGAGAATATTGACTGATTTTTTTTTTTTTTTTTTATGCAAAATGTTTCAAATTTTTTTTAACAATTTTAATAGAATTATTGCTTCAACTGAGTTGCTTTCTCAGCTAAATGCACGTTTTAATATCTCAATACTCCAGTTAACGATTTATCGATTACTAAATTTGTTGACGATTATTTAAATAATCAATTAATCATGGTTAAACCGATACATTTTTTCATATATATATATATATATATATATATATGTATGGAGAGAGAGGGAGAGGGAGAGAGAGGGAGAGAGGTTTCGGATTTCTGTCACACAACCTGCATTTTAATTCTTTTAATCCTGTAACCAAATGACAATGTTTTGACACAAAAAGAAATCATCAAGACATATTACCATGACTAAACTAATGTTGGCTTTGTTCTTATATTCTAAAAAAGTTGTCCTAGATCTTTCGGATTAAATCGCCTGTAATGGTGAGCTCATTTAAAAAAGAAAAGCTGATGTTTAGACTGTCAAGAATAGGTATCAGGTATGATTTTTAAAGCTATTTAAAGTAAAGATAAGCACACTAGTAACAAACAACATTGATCTGTGAATTTCTTACTGATGTGATTTCATTGGGGAGGGCTCCATGTTTTAGTAACAGGGTGACAATATCTGTGTGGCCCTGTTGAGCCGCCTGGTGCAGAGGGGTGTAGCCCGTCTGTAGGAATAAAAACAGAAGTTGCTAATTCAGAGAGGAGTAACGAAAAAAAAGCTCTCAGCTCATAATAAGGAAATAGCTTACCCTTGTTTTGGCATTCACTTGAGCCTGCTGCTGCAGAAGAAACTTCACCATCTTTATGTTGCCGTAGTGGCAGGCCACATGTATGGGAGTATATCCCATCTAAGGGGGAAAGACAGTGCTCTTGATAATAGCTCAATGCACAGTTATGACTTTACAGATTGTTGTAAGTCTAAAACATTTAAACATATCAGAATTCCTTAATAAAATATATACCGGTATATAGATACCAGTATATATTTTTTAAGCAGCCTAAATAGATTCCTCATTGGAAACTTGTAGCAGTGCCATAAAAGCTTTTCATAGGTTTTCCATTTTAAATATTTACTTTTCTAAGTTTCTAATTTTCCATCACTGGCTGTGAAAAAAATAAAACCAAATAAGGTTTCTTCAATTTTAAATTGAAGAAACCTTATTGGTTTTTGAATTGAAAATGTATTTTGATATATGTAACACAGAAGGGTTTTCCAAGAATAGAATGTCTTAATGCTTTTCACCCAAGTTAAAGCCAATGTTAAAGGATTATCTGTGCACAAAGTATAATTCTATTGAATTAATATTGTCTAGTCACTGCAATAGATTATCAATTTAAATAAATCATTTTTATTATGTGTTATGAAAAAAAGAAGATTAATAAAAATCTTTTCCAGAACATAACAAATAAGAAGATTATTGACTTTTTTACTTATTAAACCCTTCTTAACTTTTGCTAGGGCTGGTATAATTTTTTTCTAGCTCATCTAACTATGAACAACAATGTGCCTTTTAAGGAAGTTTCATTCATCTCAAATTCCTCTCCTCATTTCTGACCTCTGCATACATGAAATAATTATACTGTTTAAATGAGCTAATTACTCTACACTCTGATGTGGAAGTCAGTCTCTATATTCAGGTCATTTTAGCAGATCTAACTTATCCTGTTAATCCATGCACTTGTTTCATGGATGTGAATTTACCCGTGAAGCTGCATAGACCGACGCGCCCTGTTTGACCAAAGTGTCTGCGATGCCTACATGACCCTCCTGAGCTACAAGATGCAGGGGAGTCAGCCCATTCTGAAATGCAACAACAAAAAAGAACCAACACGCATTAAACAATTCAGTTTAGCCTGTTACCCTGAGCGATTTCTTTTGTATGCTTAACAGTGCAGTTAATTATGGCTCTCCAAGAACAATGCAAGACATTTAATGTCATTCCAATGTACCTTGTTTCCTAGGTTTACATTTGCTTGTTTGGAGATAAGCAGAGCCACCATATCAGGCCGCCCCTCCTGTGCGGCCAGGTGTAAGGGCGTGATGCCTTGGAGGGACTCTGCATTTGGGGATGCTCCATTCTGAAGCAGAACACTGGCCACCTCCATCTGGTTCTGCTTGGCAGCTATGTGCAGAGGAGTGTAACCATTCTGGAGAGATAAACAATGGCACACATGTCAGCACAGGCTTTACTCTTTTGATCCAAGTCCAAAGGCAATTTACACATAAAAAAGATCATAAAAGTTGTTGTGAAGGAGCATTAGCAAGTATGAGGACAGGTGCAAGAGTTTCTCTAAAGTCAAAGGGCTTGTGCGAGAATGTACACATTCATCAGTAAACATCTTACTCGGGCAGTGCTGTGTGCAGATCCTCCCTTGCTGACCAGAAGTTTAACAACATCCAGGTTGTTGTGATGCACGGCCACATGAAGGGGTGTCAGACCATTCTGTCAACCACACATATATGTACACATGTAAACATATAAAAACCCAGAGACGTAAAAACACAAAAATCACACAGAAACGTATGGTACACATACTATGGCAATAAGCTTGTAAAGCTAAATTTTTTCCCCGAAAAGCTGAAGTTCTTAGGTCTGATAATTCAAGTAGACAAGTAAAGCAACAACTCACTTTCCCTGCTGCATTTGGGTTTGCACCTCTTTCTAGAAGAAGTTCCGCTACATCCACTTTTCCATACTTAGAAGCTACATGTAGAGGAGTGAAACCTTTCTGCTCCACATAGAGGGAAACAAAACATGTGACATGTTTATTTCTGAATTTGACATTGCAACACGTGATACATTGATTGTATAACCTACTCTACCTTTGTCATCTTGACTTGTTGCGCTCCTGCATCCAATAATATCCGTATGGTGTGGATATGTCCCTCCCGTGCAGCGATGTGTAAGGGCGTGTGACCAGCAGTCGTTGCCGAGTCAGGGTTAGCCTTGTGCTCCAGGAGCAGCTTGACCAATTCCTTGTGGCCCATACGAGCCGCACAGTGTAGTGGTGTCTGGTCATCCTGTAGGGGGGAGTAAAACGAATGCTGCAATACTTGAACTTGAACTGAAGTTTTGCTGAGGAGCTTCAAAGTGAAACTTGATAAAAAAAAATGTGAAAGAAAGTTAATTTTGATGCTCGTACTTTTGCCTTTGCATCAACTTGTGCTGCATTCTGTAGTAGGAACTGAGCCACTTCACAGTGTCCTGCTCTGGAGGCCATATGGAGGGGTGTCTCCACTTTCTGAAGCATAAGAAATACAAAGATTATTTTATTAGAGCTTTGTAGAAGTACTCAGTTCATAAGATTAGACCTCAATAATTCATAATGGCAGCCAGCGTATGCTAGTCAGTTAAGAAAATTGAGATCTATTAATTAATTAAAATGGTTCCAACACAATATCCCTTTGAAATTTTCAGATATTTATACGCTTTATATTTCAGATGTCTCATTTGAATGATATGCTTTTTTTCTTCAACTATTCAAGATTTAGCCTCAATATGCCAAAAGTATCATCTGAAAAATATCAGCAGCAAATATGGCGAAAAAGGTTGACTGGCGTCTAAATAGTCAGTATCAGTGTTAATAAATGTCTACTGCCATGCATAACAAAGTCTCTGTTCGAGTTTTTGCATATTTACTACAGCCCAAAAAAAAGAAAAATGATGAGAATTTTAACCTGAGACAGAAAAAATAGCTTTGCTTTACTGTAACAGTAGCTTGGTGATCTTATCATCCTTATACTGTATAACAAGCTTTTAAGTTCACTTAAAAGTGCTAATGGGTTTATTAAGTCATTGTTTTGAGAATAAATCTATTTCTTAAATTTTAATAATATTATATATGTAATCTCCAAAATATATCACCTTCCATCTACAAAAAAAATATCAGTGCTCTGTTTCGTCTTGATAAAATAATACAATATCGGCATCATTATCAGTTTCAGATAACAAGGAAGTTTCAATTTCTTTCTATTTCCTCATCTTATTGCATGAGAGGTCAAATTGTTTCAATATTGGGTTAACTCATTTCAAGCTGAAAACACCAATCACCAGAACAGGCTGTTCTGTTGCCATTTTTTTTTTCCACCAAACTTGTCCATCTTGTCTTGGTGGACAAGATGTAAAAAGGTACTGCAAATACATAAATGGGCAGCAACAAAAAAAAAGTTAAACAAACTCAAAATTTTGACTGACAAACCCAAAAATGAAACAAACCAATACTAATAGTAGACTTAGACAAATAACCAATGCACAGGCCAAGCAAGGTTCTGTTTCAGCAACTGGACATAAAGTTTTCTAAAAGATGTTTAGCCTCTCATCCAAGAGGTTTCTAAAAGAACTGAAGACACCTCTTGGATGAGATGCTGAACTGAACCTTTTAAGCATGACCATGACCTGGATGACTGAGAATCTTTACAGATACCTGCATAAGTAAAATGCTGAAAGTAGCAAGATTAGAAAAGGTTCAAACTAGCAAAGCATTACATAAGCACTCTGGACCACTAGGGGGAGACCATCCTCATATAGGACAAACAGTAAAGATTTAAACAAGATGCTCAGAGAGATTTAGTGTAATTCATGTTTAGATTTAGTTTTCAGCACATTTATACATGTAGAAGGATTATGTACATTGCTGTTTTAATTTTCCACAAATGTATCATTTCTCTGCCCTGTGAGAAATGATGATGGTGAGCTGTTCAGGGGGATGGATGGATGGATGGATGGATGGATGGATGGATGGATGGATGGATGGATGGATGGATGGATGGATAGATGGATGGATGGATGGATTGAATTTCTCTTTTCAAAGCGTTTTGTCTTTTCCTGTGGTTTGTGTGCTGATGTCATCTCATCTCTGCTCATTTATGTATTTGCAGTCCACCTTCAATTCTGGACTTACAGTTTCAGTGCTCTGCTTTGAAATGATTAGTTGTAAACCAACGCCATACACCCTTTATATCTTTTCTAACCCATGGGCCAAGTTGTGTCAGTGTATTGACAGTGTTCAGCTGAATGATGAAACCAACTGTAACATGAGAGCTGCTTATTTTTGCACCACAGTTACCCCTTTGGCTCAAATAAATAAATGATCTTGAAAAAAATAAATAATTGGATAGTTCACTCAATATAATAAAAAAATATAGTCAAAATAAATCACATCAGCTACAACAAATTTATTTTTTTATGCATGAAAATACTATTAAAGTCAAAACTACCAGAAACAATATCAAGAATATCTTACATGAAGGTTAAAGGTAACCATAAGTTGTGACACTAAGCATTAAATAAGTTTTAAACCTCTTAGTTTCTTACCACATTGGAAGCATTAGGTGAAGCCCCTCTTTGGAGCAGGTTCTTTACTATGTTTAGATGGCCCATGAATGCTGCTACATGGAGAGGGGTGAGACCAGACTGCAAACGTAAAAACAAAGGGAAACAAAAGGTCATTCAAACACGAAGCATTTCAACAAGTATTATTCTTATTAATTAGTTTAAACAGTGTATTAGGAAAAAAAATATAGGCTAGATAGTGACAATTTCTTGCATGAATAATGCATTAGCTATACTCCTCCAGCTATTTCCTCACTAATGGAAATGTAGGTCTAAGGCAGAACTATAAACAGTGCAGTCGCCCACAAAAATATATGTAATACAATCTTCCAGTTTCTTAGCAGCAATTAGAGTTAAAAAACTATAAATTAAAAATAATGGTATAAAAGCTACTGTACAGATAGCACTGCTATGATGCTACTTGAGCAGATTATCTCACCTCTGTGACAGCTTCCAAAGAAGCAGAGTGCTTTAACAGCAGGTCCATTGATCTCATGTGGTTCTTCTTGCAAGCGATATGAAGAGGTGTGAAGCCATTCTGCAGGCAAAGGAGAAAAGGTTCAAGACTTGTTTTGAACTATTGGAAATAAAAACTGCTTCATAAAGACAAATTAAACATCTAAAAACTTTGAGCAGGAAAAAAAAACTTTCCTAGCCAAGTGCTGGTGAAAATTTTTAGTCATCCAGGTCATAGCCATTCCGAATAAAAAAAGTTAATAAACAATCCACTGGACTCTTAATTCAAAATGAATTCAATTTTTAATTGAAAAAGCTTCCTGGATGGGAAGCGAAACGTCTTCAAACTTGGAAACAAAGTCCAGTGGATCGTTTTTTTTTACTTTTTGGGGGAATTTCCTAGCCGAGTTAAGTAAACCTTGTACCATCCAAAGTAAACAAACTAGTAACTCACCAGAGCACGAGCGTTAGCTTTGGCTCCTTTGTCCAGTAGAACTTTGGCCATTCGATGGTGACCACAGTGGGCTGCTACATGAAGTGGGGTTAGATGGTCCAATGTGATATCATCAATCTCAGCGTTGTATTGCAGTAGCTGCCTGACACAGTCCATGTGATCCCCCTGAGCTGCCATGTGAATTGGGGACAGACCATTCTATAGAAGAAAGAAAGGAGTATAACCAGAAAACCATATTATATTTACAAAAATGGCAGAATAATGGTGTCCTAAATGTAGGACTACTAATTATAACAAAAACATTTCTTCTGAAGAACAGCAAAGATTTAAAAAAAATGTTTTTTCCTGAAATTGTTTTACCTATCATCTCAAAATCATAAAACCTAAGGAAATATCCCTAAATAAGTTAGCAGTATATTCTGAATATTTTTATTAGTTTCTTTCAAAAAGCTCTTCAAGGTGTGATAAAGGCCCCTTTTTTCAGTCTCTAAGCCTTTAGGGTGAGAGATTTAGATGCCTGACTTCCGCTCTAATGCTCCTAACCCACCAAGCCTATAGTCACAGACCTTCGCCCACTAACTTGTATAATAGGAAGTCAGAGCTGAGGGTTGGGGAAGTGATATAGTGAGGTGTGACCTGCATAAACAAAACCCAGAACTTATTTTCCTGTCAAAAAGAGTAAGACTGTGAAATAAATCATTTAAATTCAAAGCATATGCTTGATACCAACGTATACACATTACCGTTATGAAATAAACAGTAGTGGAAAACTTCTGACTCAAAATATATACATAGTGCACTGCTGGCGCCATTACTGAAGGCTCACCGCTGTGCAGCACATCGCCATCTTGTGATTTATGAACGGCCAGAGGGAGTTCAAAGGCAGCTTGTCTTTGCAGGTTTGGAAAGAAACTGTTTTATGAACGAGGCTATTTATAAATCATTAGGCATTAGAGGCTTATAATCACTAACTGCTAATTTCATATTTACTCTTGAGTGAAAGATTTCTAATGTTTTTACTGTCTGATTGCTTCACTATTAAAAGCTTTATTTGCAGACAGGAGAGACAGTAACAATGACATTACTTTAGTTTTAGCCTGGATGGGAGCACCGTGTTCCAGGAGGATTTCAATAATGCGAACGTGACCATTCCGGGCTGCACAGTGAAGAGGAGTCAGCTCATCCTGTAAACAGTTGGTAGAAGTCCGAGATAAATAGAAAAGAGTAAAACAACAGTGTGAATCAGTATGAAAATATAGCACAACTATATATGGAACAGTTTCACACATCAATGAGCTCCTGCAAAAATTCAATTAGACTGCGGCTCAAATGTACTTTACCTTTGTTTTGGCATCGATCTGAGCTCCCCTGTCCAACAGTAATCTGACCATCATCACATTGCCCCTCCTGGAGGCTATATGGAGAGGTGTGATTCCATTCTGGAGAACAGATGAATCATATATTGTAGGTTGCTGCATGTTTTGTCACAGCCAGAAAGAAAGTCAGCAGAAAATAATAACTTCATATAAACTTTTCTCCTGGAAATGTGGAAAAAGCCTGGCTTCATTTCTCTATTAAGGATAATCAGTTTACTAGACATTATTCCCTTTTCAGCAAACCCTAGCGTGTGACTGCATTCTGAAAATTTGTTTTTTTCAATACTTATGGTAAGTTCCGAACCTTAATAATGGTACGAAACAACCTACAACCATGGTGTTAGGCATCGCTGAAGAGTAAATGAGTCGATGCAATCAGCTGGTTTTCCTTAGACAGAAAACTTTGAATCCATCTGATTGTATAATCTGGTTAAACTGTATCTGTAAAGCGCCTTGAGATGATGTGTGGTGTGAATTGGTGCTATATAAACAAACTGAATTGAATTAAATGAAACCCAAACATAGTATTGTTAAGTAGAAATGGTGAGTAACAACAGTGAATTTGTGGTAAAACACTAACCCATATTTGATCAGATAGAAAATTACTTATTGTCAAGAAATAATATGTATTAAATAGTCCTGATTATTCATTGGAGCTGTGTTTTTAGCAATATTGGATTTTTGGCAAAGCATGGGATTAAAACCTAAGATATTATATCTTTCTAAAAGTTTGCATACCATCAAAAAGAACTTATCTGAGAAATGTAAAATGTTTACACATAAACATTTTTCAATATATATTTAGTAAATATAAATGGTTTGGAAAATAATTAAATTATAATAATAAATAGTATTACAATACAATGAGATATCAATAATTATCTTTTTTTTTATTTAGTAAGAAGTAAGGAACAGGTGGAGCCTCTGCTTTATAATTTTCTTTCTACAACTTCTACACTCCAGGTAGAAAAATACAACGTGTACACACCGGGGACAAAGATTTTTAAATCTAAGATGATGAAAATGCATACTTTTTTTTTTTTTGGATAAATTTTCATTCGATTGTTTGGACATTTTTCATAACAAAAACAATTTTGAAAAAAAATTGAAAAGAAAAAAAAACTACAATAAATCACTAAAGGAAAACGTTATTATTGTATCTCAAATTAACAGCCTGCAGTTTCAAGATAAGGCTACTTTCAAATGTATTCCTAATTAATTTGATGTCAAATACATGACTTGTTTTTACAAAAATGTTTAAGATTAATCTCTTCTCATAAAACTACAGGTAAAAGTCAAAAAGTTAACATCAATTCAATTCAGTTTATTCATATAGCACCAAATTCACAACACATGTCATCTCAAGACACTTTACAGATCATACAGTCAAATTGATACAAAGTTTTCTATCTAAGGAAAACCAATTGATTGCATTGACTCATTGACTCAAATGCAATCCCTCACACTAAGCATGCTTGTAGCGACAGTGGAGAGGAAAAACTCCCTTTTAACAGGAAGAAACCTCCAGCAGAACCAGGCTCAGTGTGAGCGGCCATCTGCTGAGGCCGACTGGGGTTCAAGGAGACAGAAGCAGTGACACCAGTGTTTACATCAGTGATGATTGTAAACAAAACAAAATTTGGCTTGCGCTGATAGCATATACTGTAAAGCAAAGATTATTGGAAAAAATAACATAACATGAACAATTTGTGAAAAACATAATGCTATAGCAAACCAATATTTTCTTTTATATATAGTAAAAATAAGTTTGACATAAGCTAAGATTTTCCATCAGAGATCATGCAATTGCAAGCTCAGATTTGCTTTAAGAATTAAAAAAAATAATAATTTTTATGTATGCTAACGAATGAATTGGAAAAAAAGCTGAAAGTACTGTAAAATAAATATTTTTGTTATCTTGTTTTTATGTGTGAATACCTAATTATGTATCATTTCTGTGTTGGAAGTGGTGGAAGGAAGAGAGTGTTTATTTCAATCTACAGTTGAGTACAAGAGATGAGGGAAGTCTGTTGTATAATTATATATGAATGTTTGCTCAGACACCATTACTTTGTTGTTCCATGGCAGATACAGAAACAATAATGCTCCTGATGCATTGTTTAATACATCCAGCTGGAGAAACACTAACCTTTGGGGTGAAGTTTACATTTGCTCCTCTGTTCAGCAGCAGCTGAGCTACACTCATGTTTTCATAGTGAGCTGCAATATGCAGCGGGGTGAAGCCAGTCTGAACGGAAAAAGAAATTGAAATTAACATGATATCCATTACTTTCTCCATCATTTTTTTTTTGGTCCTTTAATTTTTGTGTATTTTCTTAACAAAGCAGACATCATCTGAGTGGTTCAAACCTTGCTAAGTACATCAGGGTTTGGGTCGTTTTGTAGAAGGACAGCAGCCGTGCGAGTGTCATCGTTCCGTGCAGCTATGTGAAGGGCCGGGAGGCGGACCTTCCCTTTTGTGCCATAATTGATGAGCAGCGCCACAACGTTTTCATGGCCCTGCTGAAGGGCCACTGCTAGAGGTGTAAAGCCATCCTGAGTGATGGGAAACAAAACGGAGGAGAAGAGGTAAAGAAAAAACAAAGAAAAGATAGATGATTGAGGTCTTAACATCTTCTACTGCGATGCTATTAAAATCTAAAAAAAGAAGATGAGTAAACAATGTAGTTCACCCAGTAAAATGGGGTGAACTACATTGTTTTTTATATCACTGGTCTTTGACCCATCAGGTTGTAAAAGAGAAGCATTTGAGCTTTCATATGAGTCGTTCATCATAATTCTTTCATAATGTGCTAAAATATTGTATAAGAATTAACTTATTGTTGGACAATTACTTGTAAAACAAGGAGCGAAACAAATATGAAAAATTGTAATGCAAGGCAAAACCATTCCAGAATGTTGACAGAAGAAAAATATACATTTTGCACGTTATCTCTTAGAGGTGCTTTCTGTTTTTCTTTCTCACTGAAAGGAATCCTGACTCAGAGCTTCTGTGGTTGGCACTATCTCTCTCTGGTAAAAGTAAAACATCAATTCATGGAGTGTTTGTTATAATTAACTCGAAGCGTTCTCTTTAGATGCCTGTAAAAATACAATATTCTTGGTTGGATGTTTCTGTGTCTGTTTTCAATATAAAGAAACTGATTGAGCTGATGATGCCATTACATTTTTTGCAAAGGCAATGAATAAATGTTATGTGTTTCTTAAACAGTTTTTATTGTTGAAGAGAATTTGACTTTACTGCAGTATAATCTAAACAAATACATCTGTGTGAATTGTTTCTAAATAAAATATTAGATCTAAACAGACTTTGGGCTTGATTGAACATAGATATAAATTGGAGCTGCTGTGTCTTCAGAGGAAGGGGGGGGGAGTCCTTCATGTAAATAATCAATCTATTCAGATTTGCATCAGTTTGTCATGGTACTATGTTGTTTATTTAAAGAAAACTACAGCATTTTTTGTACTTTATCCGCAGCTAATACATTTTTTACCACATCTTTAAAAGTTCTGCTAATTTTAATGGGCTACTAATGTATAAATCTGTGGTTGATCTGTTAAAATGCATGAGACAAACTTAAACACTAGCTAAAAGCTACTAACTGTCTATTAGGGGTCAAAACCCTTTCAGTGAGTCATGGGGCAAAAAAGCGAAAAACTGCAAGATACATTTCAGAGGCCTCCTGAAGTAAACCCAAAAGTTGCATGGAGGGTCAAGAAAGAAATCATCAAAAAATATCATTAAATTAATAAATGTGAATATCCAATGAAATAAATAAATATATCCTTAATATCTTTTTAAAATTTACATCTATTATTTATGTATTTGATATATTATTACATCATTCAATGTACCCTTTAAATTATAAATTACATGATCAAATAATATCCCATGAAACAATTGAATAAGCTGTTACTCCATCCATCCATCCATTTGCTGACACGCTTACTCCCAGCTGTCTACAGGCGAGAGGCGGGGTAAACCCTGGACAGGTCACCAGTCCATCACAGGGCAACAGAGAGATAAACAGGACAAATAACCATTCACGTACAATTGGCTTCTCTAAGGGGACCTTAGAGAAGCCAATTGACCTAACATTAATGTTTTTGGACAGTGGGAGGAAGCCGGAGTACCCGGAGAGAACCCATGCATGCTCAGGGAGAACATGCCCAGAATTACTCTATATCTATAAATTGAAAAAAAAATAATAATTTAATAAAAAATAGATAAACTGTAATGGTAGAAATAGCATTATCATATTTTGGATTAGCTTAAAATTAGTAAGAAGATTATTATTTTTTTTTCATAGAACACAAAAACATGTAATAATGTCTTTCTGCTTCAAAATTTGAGCACAAATTAATAGTACTGTGAGAATCAGGTACAAACATACCTCAGTTGGGAGACTCTGATTTGCACCGTTTTCAAGCAGAAACTTGACCACTTCTAAATGGTTCTCCTGTGCAGCCATGTAGAGTGGACTGAAGCCTTTCTGTTTAGGAAATTAAAACACCTCGTAATAAACACAGAGACTTGCAGACAGCTCTCTATGTTAATCAAGATTGTTAGAATAAACATTTTAGTGACACATTTGGCACAGCAATTATACACATAAAGGCAGGACATATTATTTAAATATCCAAACAAGAATGAACTTAGTACATTTGTATCCAATTAAGAAAAAAAAAAAAAAAAAAAAAAGAAACAAGCCTATACAGAAGCTACTATTTTTAGAGTCTCAGCTTCAGGAGACTCACATGTGACTGGGCATTAACGTTGGCACCATAGTTGACGAGCTCAGCCACCACTTTCTCCTGCCCTGCCAGAGCCGCGATATGGAGAGCAGTGTTCCCTTTCTAGAGGTCACACACAAAGAGAAAAAAAAACATGGCAGGTCAGAAAAAGAAAATGAGAGAGAATGAGAAGACAATTATGGCAGCCCAATGGCCTAGATATCCACATTCAACACTATAACACCAGCTTATGAAACAGGTGTAATTAAATTTACATTTTTGCCTTCAACATTACTGTGATCTCTGGGGAGGCACTAAATACCATTATCTAAAGCTACATAATATAATATAAATATATATATATATACACATTATATATATACACACACACATTATATATACACACACACATTATATATGTATATATATAAAAGACACATATTTGTTTTAATATTGTTTTTTTTAAGGAAAAACTGAAAAAAAGGAGAAAATATGAAAGAAAGAGGAGATAAAAGGGAGATAACGATAAAACATCTTCAGTCTGCATCATCACCTGCAAAGAGATGTAAAAAGAAAAACACAACCAACAGATATGGTACAAGACATACAATAAAGTAACACCTACAGTAGATACTATCGCTGAAGTATAACTAGTATTATTTAATCTGGCATATATTCTGTGATACCTGAACATAAGAATATGGGCTTTCTGTATGGAAGTGAATCTCTAAGTACCAGGTATATATATTGTTAAGAAGACAGTAGGATAAATAACCAGCATCCAGGGGCATCATCCAGTTCTGTTGATCAGATTTAGTCTTAAGGCCTTAGTCATGAAAAGAGGCAGAGTTACCTTCGTTGTCGCTTCCAGCTCAATTCCAGCGTGTAGCAGCTCCAAAACCATTTTGACATGACCCTCTTTAGAGGCCAGGTGTAACCCGTTAAGACCATTCTTTGGAGAAAACAGAGACAAAAGTTACAAGTGAAAGAAGTCATAAAAAAATGTAAAATTATCTCAGTTAATCCAAGGAAGAAGGCATAAAGTGATTTTCAGTATGCTTTTACTATTTGCTGTTTTAAACACAGCTCTTGGCTAGACATTTTTAATCTTCCTATCGTTTTATGTGTTTGGCAGCATCCTGAATTATTGATGCAAAGACTGAAGCCAGCTTGCTGTAACCGATCTGTCCACAAGGGGTCATTGTGACCCACACTGTTCACAAGCTTTTCATTGTACTGCAGTGTCACTACAGTGGGAAGCTCCCTGTGTAAAACCTGCACACAGTAATGGGAATCAAGCTGTGTTGCCCTCACAGTTACACCCTCTATTATCCCACCTTCCCACCAGAGGTTTCAGAAGTAAGTGTGGAGCCATATGTGTGACTTCTCCACTAAAACCAAACTTAACATTTTACTTTTCAAATCATCTAAATATACACACCTGTTAGTCTGAACCTTTCTACAGCAGCAAAACCTGCTGTATTTTAGAAAACACCATATAGAAATGTTTAAAGCGCAGAGGGATACATATCCTCCAAGTTGTTAGAATGGTTGTTATCCTCCAACAATGTTAGATGAATAATCATAAAGACTATAAATGCTTTAGTTACTACACCTGCAGAGGATAAACTATATCCTTCGTTAAAGTTCTGGTACAGTATTTTAACAGACTGTACTTGGTTAGCTTTTGTGGAATGAACCAATTAACTCTGCAGTTACAAATATAGACACCAAGTGAGAAAAATCTGGTAATAATATTTAAAATATTATAAACCTCATCTATATATATCTTGATGTCTGTTATGTCCAGAATAGGGCAGCTATATAACAGAAAAAGATAAACACAACTACGCTGCTGCTGATTCCATAGGATATAGAAGCCGCAAAACTGTTAAAGAAAGATTTCTTGGATTTTTTTATTTACCAGTACTAATCTGCAGCAAAGAAGTGTTATTCCAGTTGTTAAGGAGGCAACATTAGCTTCAAATTTGGGGCAGAAAGATTTGCTGCTCTACAGCCCAAGAAGGGTTTGAGTAAAGGACCTTTTCCAATGTCCATCATTCTATAGATAGATTGGGTTTTTACAAGAGGAAAACAGGCATTACTTTTTCCAGGAGTAAAATTATCCAGTTCACCTCAGTCTTACACAGCCCAAATAGAAAAGCTTTAAAATGACATGGATTTTTTTTTTTTAATCTACATCCAGGGTCAAAGTGAAGTCAGTTAGATACCCTAACAAATTGTAGAGAAGACTGAGGCACAAGGACAGAGAGAGAAAAGATGAGTCCTAAAAATAGACCACAGGTTTGTGGATATACAAGAACACAGAACCACATTAATCTCAAATAAAAATACAACACCTTCCCTTTTCTGAGCTGGAAGTAAAAATTCTTCCACACACAGCAGGAGAGAATAAAAATGAATACACTATATATATATATATATATATATATATATATATATATATATATATATATATATATATATATATATATATATATATGATTCTAGATTACAATAGGATTAGGGTTGTGGAGAATATATATAGAGAGAGTTTCTTTAAGGTACTTTTTATACGTTCCCTATCATGAAATGCGAACTAATTATTACAGACATTACATCATAAAAAAATGAATGAAAGTTTATTAGCATGTCAGTTAAAGAGACGACAGGAAGAAAAACAAATCAACATGGATTATTTTTATATCCTGTAATTGTTATTTGGCAGTCATTCTATGTTTGCCAGAGATTTTATGGCTCAGATATACGCAGCTTAATTGTATTTGGATGAAAGCTAAGTATTTCCTTCTGCATTTAGACCTGCTGCTACAGCTCAAAAAAGATATGGCACTTTTTACATTTCAACACAGAACTAACTTGAGAGCAAGATATAGAAGTTCAGTCTGACTTAGGTCTCATCAATAATATTTCAACAACATTTTGGACAAGCAGTTATTTTGACTATGAGCTTGAAATCCAGGAGGTGTAATGCATATTTTAGTAGTTCATTATCTTAATTTAGAAAGATTTAAAAGAATAAAAGGTGAAACAAAACATTTATGGACCCGTAATCTTATATATCAATAATTCATGCATTTTAGACAGAGAATAAGTAGTTTCTGGGAAACATGAATCTTTAATAGTCTTTCAAGGCTCTGATTTTATTCAATTTTTCCAATTCTGCAAGGCAAAGTTCCAGTAAAATGTACAGTCTGATCTGCATGAGCTGGAAAACGTCTTTACTTAGATCATGCAATGCTCTTAAATATATGTACATGATGTGGTGCATAAAAAGATGTCACACAGTAAAGCTGTTCTTTCTATTAATTCAGCAAAAATATAAGAGAACATTCTCCAAATCGTTGTTGTGGAAATATCAGATCATCACAAATGAAAGAAATGTTTATGCAACAAACTTTGACCCAGGCTTACAGTTCATGGCGATGGTGGCCTTTAAAGTAAAGGAATAACTTATGCTTCCAAAATGTTGCAGTTACATTTAGAAATTGTTATCCTACGAGACAAAATAATAACAACCTAACAGATAAGTTGACGGAGGATTATTTGATATTTTATTCATAACTAATTAAAGCGGTGGATAAGCTCAATCAGCCCCTGTGCCTCTCCTGCCTCCCCTACAATAACATGTGTCATTTAAAATAGATTTGATTTTAAAGGGTTTTATTGTTTTTTATAAGGAGGAATGTTTTGCAATAGAATCCATTATGTATATAGTTGGAAGGCTGTGTGGGGATGTACGTGTAAGTGTAAGTGTAGAGCCTTTCATGGGTGCATTAGTGTTAGTGGGTCAACTTTAACTTTGTTGTGCTGTTGTTTTTAATGTGCATTGACCATAACCCAGATTCTACTTTACATAAAAAAAAAAAAAATACCTTTAGCAGTCCTTAAACATGAACCTCCTGGATGTTATTATAATCTTAATTAAAAAAAAAATTCTTTCTCTATTTATTAAAATGTGCCTGTTGCTAAGAAGATTCTACCAGCATCAATCACTGTTGATTCTGTAAAGATCAACATTTTATGAAATACTTCACAAGTTAATTAATAAATGAATAATGGGAAAAGAAAAGCCTTTGTTTGATGCAAAATGTTTGTTTTCAGTGTCATAATTTCCCGCCCACCTGCAAAACAGGTGAAAAGCTAAAAATGCTTTATAACATACAGAATACAAATCATATGGACTGGACAGCTAGGCTGGCTAGGATTGTTAATCAGCAACCTGAGGCAGAGTGTAGTAAATCACAACTGGACTGGATATAAAAATGAGTTCAAAGCAACAAGAGCAGGCAAAGGAGAAGACAAGAAAGCAATATAAAACCACAAGGAAAACAAAATATTAAGTTAAACCTAGATGAGAGATTAACTCCTATGATTGGAAGTATAAGGATGGTTTGCTGCATAACTACTATACTTGAAAATTACTATGAAGGAAAACCTGCTTATCTAAATTTTCAAAAGATTGTTCTTCTAAAAAAATACACTGTTCATTGCTCAGACCGAAAAATATCAAGAATGATGTAAAGAAGTTGCTGAGTTCTTTTTATTTATCTTCTTTAGCTAAATTAGAACCAATATTTTTATCATCCTTGGCTGGCTTCAAAATGTACAATTTAGAAACCTACAGTAACAGATCGAACCCATGAACAAATGGAATAAAATATGCTCCTCAAACAAGTGAAGGATCTTAAAGAACATCTTAAAGGAAGTTTTTTCTTTGCTTTCCACCCCAATTTTAGATATGCCTAATCTATATCTAGTACAGAGAAATGTACCTCAGGTTTTTAAGGTAGCTTTAAATCAACCTGTACTAAAGAAACCCTGCCTTGATCAAGATGACTTGATGAATTCTAGACCTATATCTGACCTTTCATTCTTATCTAAAACTCTCAAGAAAGCTCTTACTAATTAAGAGTGAACATTTACATCACGGTGTTCTTTGTGAAGAGTTTCATCCAGGTTTAACAGCTGATCTCGGCACTGAAACAGAACTGGTGAAAGTCACTAATGATATGATCGCTGCCTCAAAAAGTGGATTAGTGTCTGTTGCTCTGTTAGATTTCAGTGCTGCTTTTTATAAAGTAAATCTTAATATTATCCTAGAAGACTGGAATCTAGGGATCTAGTGAACTGTGCTAGGATGGATTAAATCTTGTCCGTCCAACAGATTCCTGTTTGTAGAAGAAATTAATAATCTTGAAACCTGGAGTAAACCTGTGGAGTACCACAGGGTTAAGTGTTCGGGCCAAAATAAAATTATACACTTAAAAATATATTTTTTTAATTACATTACACAGTTCTTTTGCACCTCTGTCTCAGAGTTGTCAACATGAACAATAAAGTCCCCCTACAAGAATTAAATACTCATCTTAAACAGATATCATGGATAAAAGTTAATTGTTAATTGGAATGATTAGTTGTTTTGGACTGAAGAGGCCTGCAAACATTCAGAAAACAGGCTTAAACAGGGCTCTGCACTGGCAAGATATTCAAAAGATTTTTAATCCAACCAGGAACACTTTTATTTAACATTTATTAATCATTACCATACAAACTGACGTGATTTACTATACATACAAAATTATGTAGGGCCATTCACACTGAGACTGATTCTGTTTTCCTTCCTACTGCCACTATATAGCGTGAGTTTTGTATGGTGTCCAAACTTCCTCCCTAACCCCTAAATCCCTCAATTACCATATAGAGCGGCGACTAGTGAACTTTATAGTGAACTCAGTCAACTGACAGTTCAAACAGATGATTATTTCTTTTCCATCTTTGTTATTTGTCGAGACAGCAGGCCGCTGTAACAAAAAAATCCCATAATGCTTTGCGAGAAGAGGTCTTCGCTCAAAGCATTCTGGGATATATCTGCTCATCTAGTGACCATGGATAATCACTACTTTTCAAGATACACTGAGGGAAATTTCGAGTCCACTACTTTCTCATCCACTAGACTTTCGCACACTCATCTAAAATGGCGTGATCACTATGATGATCACTACTTTTCAAGGTGCATCGTGGGAAATTTCGAGTCCACTACTTTCTCATCCACTAGACTTTCGCACACTCATCTAAAATGGCGTCATCACTATATAGTGCCTCATATAGTGATTAGGGCGGACATTCAGACACAGCTAGCGACCGTCTACTACCTACATACTCGTCCAGCAGGAGTGATTTAACAAGTCAATGGCTTGATGCAGTCTGCTAGGTTTGCGTATAATAGTACCATACAGTTGGACTATCTGTCTGTATGATTTGTATGTACTGACTGTAAACTTCAATGAGATAATATTTTATGTAAATGAGCACTATATAAATAAAATAATTTGATTTATTTCTTATTTATAGACCTGAAAATGACTGAAGGTAAGTACGTTTTTTTTTTCAAACTTTGCAGTAGTCTATGTTTTACATTTATCTTCCAATGCATACAGTATATTTAAAACTATTTAAAGTATGATTTAAATGCATTTTTAAAGAGCTCATACCACAGCCTTGTTATGCCCACATCTAGTATTTGAAAAAAAAAAAAAACACTTAAAGGCCTTGTGGACCTCATTCACTGGGAAAGTGAAGCAGTTAAGGGCTGGATGTGGTCTGTTAAAGTACATAAATTATATATATAAAAAAAGTATATTTACATAGCTAATACATAGTTAATCCGAAAATTTACATAAAGATTGCAACCTCAAAGTCCTGACTCCAGCTTGCTACTGGTGCATTTACAGTGCGAGACAGAGCCAGTTTCATAGGTTTTGAGCCAGTACCAGTACTGGTTGAAAATTCAAATGCATTACACTTGGTAAACATGAGGGAGGGGCACATATAGATTTAGACAAAAATGCTATATTTCAAACAAATGTGCCATAAATTGTGAAGATAATGTTCAGGACAAGAAGACAACTCTATACATTTCATTGTATTTCAAAGAAAAAAATAATTCGGGGGTCATTTGTTCCTTCAAGTTGTTAGTAAGTAAGATGTACATGCATAATGAGCATGTGTTTGTAAATGTTTTACCATCACCCTTTTTGGGATTTATCACATAAAATTATCCTCAACAAGGGTGCAAAAGACTCCTGATACAAGATGTTGCTCTGAAGAACAGCAAGTCAAACGATCAAGTGCAACCAGGAAAAACTTTTACCTTCTCCCTCTGGACAAGAACTTAGAAAGTGCTAAAATGTTGACCCTGATCTGGTTGAATCTTAGCATGTGAATAATTAATAACTCAAGAAACAAACCAGTCCTGCCTTAATATGCTGCTTGCACATGCTGTGTTTTATTAATGTTTCGCAACTCTTCATAGATTACAACAGTTTCAGTCATTTTTTGACTTTGTTATTGGATTGGCTAGTCAAGATTACAGTACCGGTAGTTGGTTCTTTCTGCAGAGAATCTAAAGTTAACAATCTCAAGGTTTATACAGAGGTGATTAAAAAACAATATTTTGATTTAACTACAACAATAATAAACGTTTTATGAGTTTTAGGCATTATTTTTTTTTAGCTCCCTGTAAAAACTAATTAAGTCTTTTAATCCATTGTAACATGTAATCTGCTGGCCTGTTTAATGTAAACTCACTCCCACTGATGCTGAGATCTTTTCACAGGTGTATCCAAATTAGCATAAGAAATCTTACCTGATTAGCAGTGTTGATGTTAATCCCGTTCTTGATGTGATCCAGGGCCTTATCCAGGTTCCCTGAACGAGCAGCACGCAGGAAGCTGGTGGCAGCATCCGCCTACCACAGAAAGAGGGAATGGAGGAAAGGTAAGACGAGTTAGAAACTTATGCAGAAAAACAGGTTATCCAAATCCGAGGTTAGAAACTTCTAATTCTGTATGATATTTTTCAGTCAAAGCCACAAAGATTACAAAAAAAAAACCTTATATTATGACAGTACTATGACAGTAAATCTACTGCATCTCTTTTCCTTTTGTAAAAAGCATAAAAATGTCAGACTTCTTACAGCCCACTTGTGCCCACACTATGAATTTGGCAGCGTGCTCTGCTCTCAGTCAGGAAAAACCCCTGTGGTTTGTCTCTTGGTCTGTGTCAGTGTTTGTACGCCCACTTCTAAATTTATTCATTGACAACTACCGTACTATGGCTGACCTGAACAATGAGATATTTTCAGTGCCCTGAAGAAGAGATAACTCATGCCTGCATTGTACTCTTGACCCCGCCTCCACCTCCGTCACCAGCTAAATTATAAATCTGCTGAAGCTTTTATTCCCGAATGGTTTAATTATACTGAACTGCTAAAAAAACCACATGCCCTTTCAGAAGATGAGACATTAGATTTTTTTCTCTCCTCACATGTCTTATTCATCTCAGATGTGAGTTACTGCTGACGCATTAAAGAGTTGTGTTCAGCTTATATTTACTAAATATTCTCTTAGTTTTTCTACATAAATAAACAAACACAAGCATACTGTCAATTTAAGGTCAAGTTGGGAATGATTAAAATAAAACAAGTAAATGGTTTCTTGTTTGCATTTCTAGTGCTTTAAATACATTCTTACATTTTGAGCTGTTTTTTCTCTAGTTCTAAACTAAAACTTATCGTATTTAATTGGGATTTTCAACAATTGCATAATTATACATGGTCAGGAACATTATGAATGGTTTTAAGAATGTTTTGTAAATAACATTTTGGAAAATTCTGTCTATATTATTATCTAATATTTCATTTTTTTATTTAACTGACTATATGTTAGTGATATAAAGCTGTAATTCCTAAAGGGTTTGTCTCTTTGAGCTTTTAACTGGTCGTAGCTTAACTTTTAAATTTGCCACATATTCTCAGTTGGATATAAGTCTATGCTTTGAATAGGTCTTTCTAACATGTTAATGTGATCTAAAGCATTCATAGTTTTATGTTTAGGGTTGTTAGAAACTTTAAAGGTAAATCCTGTGTCACAGTCTTAAAACAACAGACTTTAACCATCATATTTTGTTTTAATAACTTTATGGACTACTTAATATGATTAAATATTTGCTTACCGAGCTTTTAAAAATGTTCCTTGCTAATATTCATGACAAAAACAATTTTATGTTAGAAGTGCAAAGAAATCCTATAAATTATTTCACACCCCTAATATATATATATATTATCATGTTTGATACTACACCTAAATGCTACAGGACATTTAAAAGGATATATATACATTTTTTAAAGTACACAAAATGCCATATTTTCAAGGCCAAAAAACACATCTAATTTCATCTGTAACTCCTTTGATGTTTATCTGTCATACTGCTTTTTCTCTTTGTGACATTTGCTTTCCTGTCCACCGTTTCCACCTGTGTCTCTCCTTCTCAGCCTCCTCGCTCCTGTATTGACTCTAAATAATAGCTTTAAGAGCTAATTTCCTCTCTGCATTTGATTGATAGAACTTTACATGTGTTAATCAATCTTTGTTTGTGTTGCTGACAGATATCTAGCCCCACCCAGTAAAAGATCAAAAGAGTGAGATTTGGTCTTGATGTTGTTCACAGGCTTGGATATATCTCCCATCCTCTGTTCTACCACTTTCTGCTGCTCCATTTTCCTTCCCTTTTTATTCTCTTTCACTCCCCTTTTTGCTCTTTTAACTCTATTTGCAATCAACCTGTCAGCTGCATCAGATAATTTAGTTACCTGAACCCCTCCCTTTGCACTAACATCATTAATGTCCTCTTTCACTCAAATTTTCCAGTAACTGAATAAACCGTGTTTTTACTGATGCTTTTGTCTGTTTTCTCATATTCTCTATGATCATATCAAAACCTTCTTTCCTATGAATCACTTTCTTAGCAGGTCAGAGTATGAACATTTTTTCAATCAAAATTGCAACACATGCAAGATGCAGTTTCACCACCTTGTAACAACAGCACTCAATATTGTCCCCCCTGCATGGGTTACAAATAATGTAACTGGACATTTAGATTAAGATAAGACAATTTACATAAAGCCAATATTTCCCTGCAGCGTTTTTGAAGAAAATACTATACAGATAAATCCTAAAATGTGCATAGCTAAAGTGTAGCACTTCTTAAAGTACTAAGGACTACATGCTATAGAATATCAGAAGACTAAATGTGTCTACTGGAGCTGTTGTCAGTAATCAATAAAAAAAAAAAATACAAAGGACTACGGTATCTGTTTTTAATACTGCGTAGATAGAAGGTGGAAAAAAAGTAAAACAAACTCCACAAAACACTAACCATACACATAACCAAATAAATATAAATACAATATATAAATACAATATATATATATATATCTACATTGTTTAAGGTTGCAAAAGCAAAAGACCGTCACTAAATTGTACTCACACACTCTTTTACAGTTTATCTGCATTTAAATCCGAAAATACCATGGTTAACTTTACATGTTTAGCTTTTAAATGAATATGAGTAAACTAGATGCTGATTCAACAGAAGGTAAATATCTACATAAATGATAGAAAATTTTATTATTGGAGAAGGTGAATTGTTTTCCTTTAGACAGAAAAAGAGGTGCAGCTCAGAATACTTGCACCCTTCCCATAATAAGTAAAAGCATAACACTGAATAAGCATAAAATGCTGGTTCCAATTGCTAATTTCAACCGTTGTGGTACTTAGTGCCATCTACTGTACAGGAGTGACCTGGTCCTTTGGCATGTCAGTCATCTGGAGGTGTCACTTTATGTCGGTTCTCATTTCTCCTACAGCAACCATTACAATTTTGTGAAGATCAACAATTATGCAAATCAGCAATTATGCATCATCTAGCTACCTCCTGAATTTTAAGGAGTTGAAAAGCAGTTATAATACATTGGTCAACCAAGCATGCAATGCCTGTAAATATACAAATGTAAGTTTTTTTTTCTCTTTTCTTTTCTTCAGAAAAAACAATCTCCAACAATATAAAGAAGTCCAAACTTGAGCAAGAATAATCCCTTTGCACACTGGGTAACGGTAACTTTGGATCTTCAGTGTAACGTTTAGAGCAAAAAAAGCTATTCTTCCACAGGCTTCCATTTAATATACTGCATGGGGTAAGAGGGAAATAAATTTATCCTATATTCATTTAAAAACCTTGCTAGAAATGTGCAAGTTGATCGCTGACATTTCTTTATGCAAGAGTTTTCGCTTATCAAGAAGGACATTTTTCAGATAGATGAAAAGAAATATGTGAGGAAATATGTGAGTCAGTGCACCTAGAAAAGTCACCTAGAAATCATTAGATGGTCAAATAAAAAGCAAGAAATCTCACCTCAGATAACTGCCCACCACAAATAAAGCATGCAACACATTGCAGATGCTGATGTATCGTTGATAAATATTTTTACAATTATGGAGGAACACCACATCAGGAGCAGATTACATAAGATGACATAAAGCTCTGTGAGCTCAGAGAAGTAACCTATAATGCAACACATAGCTAAGCCACACAGCCAAGACAGGAGCAAAAGAACGTGTCAGAAACATTCAAAAAGAGAAAGCCATGTGTTTTCCACCTTCGTTTAAATAATGTAACATTAATCCTGAATATCTTGATCACTCCAATGGGGGGAATCGGAATAAACAAATGGAGATTGATTTTAGACTGTAAATGAGCATTAAATGCCAAAATGTTTGGCAAAAACCACAAGACAAATTGCTAATATGCAAAATGCAAATGCAAGTCTAATTAAAGAATTCATACCATAAACATCACTGTTCTACATGTAGAAACTCTCTTAATAACATCTTTTAAATGTGTCTATTGAATGGTGATCAAGCTTGTTTTTAATTAAAGTGCAATGACATCCAATTTACTTTTCAAATAACTATTGTTTCCTAACCCATGCATATAACATGATTATCTCATTGATTTATGAAGAGTTTTTTTTTTTTTTTCTAAAATAATATTCTCAAAAACTGATGAGTCAGCTCATCAGTCCTATACCAGCCCACATCTACTTTGACTGATGGCTGCAGTCAAACTATTGTTTCAAGTATTCATTTTTATTGTTGGGGTAATTTGGATAGCCTACAAATTTTTCAGAGCGCCCCATTTTACAAATACAAATCTAATCACTGGAGTGTGCATTTTTAATTAGCTCCTTATAATCCAATAACTCCAACTCTTATTTAGTACAATTAAATTTGTTCTGCGTTCTACTATATTACCAATTGAAGTCAGCCTGTGTATCAAAAAACCAACCCAAAAAACACACACAACGAAAAGCGCAAAATTAATATTATTTGGCATTTTAAAAGAGGGTTATATCAAAAATCAACGTGCCAAATTAGAGATATCTAGAGAGATCAAATTTGTCAGAGTTGAGAAAACAGAAAACCTACCCATAAAAAGCTGTTTATTAAAAACATAGAAGTAGAGCTTTGTCCAGGGAAGCTACCAAGGGACAAATTGCTCTGGAGTGAGAATCTCTTCCCTGGATAAACCCTTAGTTCTGCACATCTTAAATAGACCAAGAAAAAAGGGTATTGAACAAAAACTATTACAGTAAGTCATGTTTGCAATAAGGCTGAAGCATAGATGAGAATTAAGCAAACATATTGTCACACCAAAATCTCAGACCTGTGTTTCCGCCCCACATCAACCACAAATATTTTGGAGTGAAAATTAACACAGAAAACTAAATGTTAGAAAAATGTGTATGTTATCATTTTATTTTAAGTTACAGGCATTGAGCATGTTAGAAATGTTCTGTTGTTTTTTTAATTCTAAATGGGAAGAGCAAACATTTCTCTCAGGGCCTGGTAT